TTTATCATTTTTTTATGAAACATAGTTTATCTTAGGAATTTTTTGTTAAAAGTTTTTTAAGTTAAGCATGTATTATGAAGTTTGGAAAATACTGCAAAACACAGAGAAGAAAATAAGTCATTTTTAATTCCAGCATCCACTGATAACCACTACTAACATGTTTTTTATATGTCCAGTTATTCTATACAAAGATTTATTATATTTTGGATAATAGGTATTACTAACTGATTTTATTAGAAGGTAATAATCTGTTGTTTAGTGAGTGTGAGTTTCATACTAAGAAGTTGTGACTTGTCTGTAATGACCTTTAGGATAAATAAGATAGAGTTCTAGCCTCTTTTTATTGGCTACTTTGATTAGTTGAATGCTTGATTGAAGGGCTTGAAACACCTCTCCACATATGAGGGAGAGACTTCCCACTGCTGTTTCTAACCTAGCAAATGCAAGGTGTGTTATTTACACTGTAGTTCTTCATTATAAAGGCACAAACACAAATAGATTTTAGTGGAGAAATTTTTTTTAATGTGGTAGGTTTAGCATATTTTTTTAAAAGGGCATTTGTAAAATGTTTTACTTCCTCCAGTAGATGGGTACACTTTCTAAAAGTAATTAGGTATGTTTTTATGGCCCTACTATATAATAGTAATTCTTAAGGGTTATTTATCTAATCATTTATATTTAAGCTGTTTGTATTATTCTGATACCACAAGGAAAACTTTTATATTTCATTTTATTTTTTTCATTTGTTGTTTTATTTTCTCTGCCTTCATAAGTACTAAAAATTGAAATTATGTGTGTAAAAATAAGATTTTGTGTGTATTAGTTAATCTTAAGATACGTATTTAAAAATCTACTTTCTGTCACAATATAGAGGTAGAATTTGAATGATCAAAAAGTAGAATTGTAACTTCAGGAAAGGAAAAATGGCCTACTTAGCTCCAGAGAGCAGTTCACAAAAGATGGGATAGAAACCTCTACATACAAACATATATTCATATTTAGAGTTTCGTTGTCATTCTCTCTCACATTCTCTTTGTCTCACACTCATTCCTTCTCTTCCTCCCTCTCTTTCTCTCAATAATAATTTAAAATTCTGATTAAATCAAGTAGTGGCAATTACTTTCTTAGCATAGCCTGTACTGTTGAAGAGTAATTTTGTTCTTATAAAATCTTGAGAGATTTCTCAGTGGCCAAAACTGGAACAGTTTGAGCAACAAAATAAATGACAGTGGTATTTTATTATAAACTAAAGAATAAAATAAATATCCATGAGTCCATGTTGATATAAATAAGCAAATAAATAAATGAGGGAGAAGGGACAAATCTTCCTTACAGAAGTCCATATAATAAATGTAGAAGGAATGGAGAAAGCAGAATATTCCATTAGAACGCACAGTAATGATTGCTACAGACAGGATTCACAGATGAATGATAAAATTAATGAGTGAAGCTTTAAGGAGAAACAGGATATTTGTATGACCTCAGAGTATTTTCTCTTAAGAAACTTAATAATTTCTGTGTTAGTTTTAATGAATATCCACAAATTATGTGATGCCCTTCCTTCCCGCAAGTGGCGCTAACCTCTCTTATTCTTTAGTGGGGCTAGATATAGTGACTTGTAATTATCCAATAGAGTATGGAAAGGAGAAAAATAATAACTCTATAATAGAGAAACCTGGCAGGCACCATCTTAACTCAAGTGGTCAGGTTAACATCAGCAGTAATAAATCATGTTGGTGTCATACACCCCCAGATATTATGCTTTGAGAAAGGCACGTCACTTCTCTTCCATTCTCCCCCAAAATCTATAACCTCAGTCTAAGCATGAGGAAACATCAAAAAATCCCAATTGAGGAACATTCTATAAAATATCTGACTAGAACTCTTCAAAAGTGTCAAGGAAAGTCTGAGAAACTGTCACAGATCAGAATAGAGGAAGGAGTCATGTCAACTAAACTCAGTGTGGTTTCCTGGATTGGATCCTTGAACAAATAAAAACATTATTGGAAAAGCTGATAAAGTCTGAACAAAGTCTATAGTTTAGTTAATTGTATTGTACCAATAATAATTTCTTAGAATTGATAAATGTACACTGATATGAGCTTTAGGGGAAGTTGGGTGATTCGAATACTGGAAATCTCTATTCTGTCTTTACAACTTTTCTATAAATCTAAAATTATTTCAAGATTGAAAGTTAAAAAACAATTCACCGGTGGCTTTCACATTCTAAAGATATTTGTTATTTGTCTCCAGAGAAAATTAGTTCAGAGAAATCTCCCTTCCTCTCCAAGCCTTTGTGCAATCTCTCTAAAAGAAGGATGAGCTGTTTTGATAACAAAACAGCTCTCATGGAGCAAGGACAAAAGTTCTATAGCCTTCTGTCCCACCACTAGAAATAGAAACGCATCTTTGCCTGCTTTGTGCAGGTCTGTTTAGACATCTCTGATGCTTTGCCTTTTGTGACTTGGTAGTATGCCCAACAGCACCTAGGTTATAAAAGTATTCTGTTAAAACAGTGCAGAGCGGAGCAGTTGTGATTCTACCTGACTTTGTTTGGGACCCTTCATTCCAGGTATTCTCATTGAGCTGCTAATTTAAAATCTTCAGAGGTACTAGATCCAGTTTCTTTTGACTATCTCTTAACTCCAGATTATTGGTAGATTCAAATAGTATAAAAAGTATGGTACTGAGTGAGATGAACACATGAAAAAATATAAAATACACAATATATTGCTCTTTCCCCCCCAAAACAGTAAAATCTCATTAATTCAATGTAATTACAGATGCAAAATCATGATTTATAAAAATTTTTTCTTATTACTTTCAAGCTCTTACTAATTCAAACTGGGATAACAGAGTTTATTATAGAAGGCCTAACAGGGTCCTATTTCAGTATATAATAATATGTAATTGGCTGAGGATGATTATTGTCATAGTAACAAATTAGAATTTTGATACTAAAATTAAACTCCTCCCGCGTGCCAATCATTTTCTTGATCTGACCATTAGTGAAAACTGTCTTAATTTGTGCACATATGGGAGGCATTATTTTTATCAGTTAAAGATATTTTACCACCTAACCAAATGGGTATCTTGCAGTCTGTCTATCTTGGGAATATAACTGATGTGATCAATGGAGAACAATGTACTGTTCTTGAACATGGAAATAGGTTTAGGTTAGTATAGTGGCAGGTGCATGCATTTTCTGAAAAGCTCTGTTTTCCAGATTGTTAATGCATGCCCAAGTAAATACACAGATACTTAATAATAGTGCTTAATTGCTGTAGTCAGATTGAGCAACACAAAATTTATTTCAGTTCTGAAACTAAGAACACAAGAATAAGCTACATGATAAAGACTTATTAACTACAGTTACTAGTCATTAGAAGTACAGACTGCACATTGTTGATAGCAAGCCATTCTTATAAAATGTGTATGTATAATTTTCTTGACAGCTGTTTTCAAACTGTACCTTTCCATGTCATCCTTGTTTCTTTAGTGAATTTAATTGTAAGGTTTTTTAAAATAAGCAATGTTTCATTTTCCAATTTTATATTCAATTAAGAATTTTACCTGTTGGCTACCATGTGTCATGCACTGTTACTTACTGTTTTTCCAGTGTCTCAATAAATTAGGGACTTCTTTGCCCATTTTAGGAATTATAAAATGGAGATTGAAAGGTTTAGAAACTTACCTCCGTTAGACCTTACATATGGTTAAACGTAAGTGTGGTTACCTGAGAGTTGCCTAATACATGGGTATAGATAATGTATCAGAATAAAAGGATCCCCGGAAAGGAAATGAGGGGAGTCGGGACTAAAATAATGAGTATTTGAGAATTAATTTAGCAAGTTTGCTAAGTGGAACACCACTTTTTTGGGCAGATCTGGTTTCAGAGCCACTGAATGTATTGAACCTGTTGAATTTGTTGAAAATGCAAATAATCCATTCAAGTGTAATACTCATTAAAGGAAAAGGTATACAATTTGAAAGTTTTTATGAAGACATGCACTGCCTAATCTGTGAATTGAAAGCATCTTTTAAAATTTGCCTCCCTTCGTATTCCTAGGTGATAGTGAATACATGGGTAGAAAAATGAAAGCATTTCAAATAATGCTAATGAAGTTAAATGATTGCAATCTACCATATTGTGAGGGAAAGTTGTTAGCCGTGAAAGATGAGGACAGAATTAAAATATTACCATGACTGGCATTTGATTTGCAAACTGCACAGATAAGCTTAGATTCTTCTTTATGAAAACCATTCTTACAGCCTGATGAAATATCTTTTAAAAGGTTTTATAGTTACCATGGATACCTGTTAGCTTTGATAGAGTAAGTTGTAATCCATATTTAATCATCTGAGGTGAAGTAGCCAAGAAACCTGCCAACTACAATCAAAAGTAGATTCATCTCTAAATTTATACTAGTTTGGAGATGGAAAGGGTAAATAGCATAAAGATTAGATTTTTGGTTAATTATCACTGCTTGAAAAGCAAGATATTTAGGGGATGCACATTACCTAAATTTGATTCTAATTTTACTTTTTATGTGTAACTTTTTCTTTTAACTAATAAAGGGCATTTCTTAGGTTTTGACATAGGAATTTAGATGGTGAGATCTTTCTGAAAGTTGATGAAACATAAGCAGCAGACTCAATTTCTGAAAGTTATAGGGACACAGGCAGTATTGAAAGCATCGGTCCCTATGATGACATATTTGTCTTTGGCCCAGAAGTAGCTGCTTTCTGCTTAACTTCTTTTAATTGCTGTATATTGACAGCCGTTTTCATGACTATTTATAAAATGTCGGATTAATGAGCGTGTGTACAAGGTGATGCATATCATACCCTTAGGCTTGATTAGACATCTGAGATGACAAAGAGCTCTGCGTGAAGAGTTACTGAGGTGTTTTTGGCATTTCCTAATGCGTCTGTCACATAGTGGAAGCAAAAGTGTTTCAAATGATTTAAATATTTTCCTCAATTCTCTTTTAAAACAGGTGACAAAAGAGCTAAAACAGTATGACAACAAAATTATAGAATGCAAATTTGAGAACAACAGCTGGGTCTTCATGAGACAGAGAACAGACAAAAGTTTTCCTAATGCCTACAACACCGCCATGGGTGAGTACGACAACCTACCAGTGCTTGTTACGTTAAAAAAGAAGAAAACGTTAAGGTGTTAGAACCAAAATGTGCTGTCTTTGTTGTTCTGCTTGATGCGGCATAGTGTCATTTGGACCCTCATCTTTGATTGCTGGGATAGGGTTGCGATGGGTCTGTCCCCTGGTTGGCATCAGTCCATTTGTAGGTTTTCCCCTTTAGATAGACCTGTGGGCTTGTGCCCCTATGTCCGAGAGAGGCGTTTAAAGGGCAGGATAATGAGCTGTATACAAGTTGAATTTGTTGAACAACAACAACAACAAAAGCCATGATAATTTCAGATCTATTCAAAACTATAACAGCCATTGTTTGCCAGATGGTAAAGGACAAAATTAGCAAGGGAAAGTGTAATTTCCAGCTCCTAAAATAGCTTTACAAACAATGGAGAACAAAGTAAATGAAAACTATTTAAAAAAAAAAACAAACCTAAAACCTGCTATGCTATCCTTTAGAGTGTTCTTTGGGTACAATATGAATGCTTTGGGAATTCAGAATAGTAAGTTTCTTTCATGGGGAACAACACAAATTAATCACATTTATAAGGAAAACTACTAGTAGCAGTTGTTTTTCTGGATTGCATTTTTAGTGGAATTGAAAAAAAGATGAAAACGAAAATTAAAGGTTAATAAAAGTGTGTATTTTTAGAATGCTCAGTTGATGGTGATTATATGATAAGCTTATGAGAAAACATAAAAATTGCCAGTTTGAGTTTTGCAGCTTAAAAGTTACTATTATACATTTAAAGGTTCTTGTTGGAACTAGCATCTATGTTTAGACAAGATGAGTTAATTTTGAAAATAGAAATAATTAAGCTACTGTCTTTTCTTCCCCAAAACCAAATAGGTAAATAAAATTAAAAGGACTGATACTAAATTTTGATCACATAAGAAAAGAAGCTTTATTTATTAGTAATTTGTTAAAATACCTTACTTCAAACAAGTTATTAAAAAAAAAATAGTATTATCTGCCAGCTACAGTGAAATCTGTTCAGAGGGAATGGGGGCTGTTGCTGAGTTATATGGTTCTCAGTGTGGACTGCTTTCTGAGAGAAAGACTGAAGGACTGCAGCACATATTTTTTTGTAGAAATTTTGATTGAATATGGAGTGTAGTGTAATGCACTATGCTAGGTTAAAATCCTATAAAACTGTTTTAGAGAGATAGAAAACCTTGTGGATACATGCTTTTAACCCAAGTATTTAAAGTTCTGGTTTAAAATTAATAGTAAAGAGTAGCCACTAGAAAAACACTCATTTGGGGTACTGGGAGGGAAGAGAATGGTTTAATCTGAAGCTTGTCATCCAGATCAGTAAAATGGAAGTGTTTGGCATGTCGGGATGAAAACCTTTCCCCTTACACATCTCCCTGTGGTGAGTCAGCTGCCTTAATTAACCCTCACGTGAGACACGTGTCTCCTTTTGTCCACAGCTGTGTGCAACAGTATCTCAAACCCTGTCACCAAGGAGATGCTGTTTGAGTTTATCGACAGATGTGCGGCAGCTTCTCAAGGACAGAAACGAAGGCATCATCTGGACCCTGACACGGAGCTTATGCCTCCACCACCTCCCAAAAGACCACGCCCTTTGACCTAAGACCTGCTTTAGACTTAAGGACTGAGAGGAAAGATGAGTGAGAAAAAAATACTGTTGCCCCATTTGCAGCCAGAGAAATTAAAAAAAAAATGTGGCTTGATGTTGATACTGTTTGAATTTTTTTTTTTTTAAGAAAAGTATTGTAGCCAGCCTGTAGATATCTGATGCATTTGTTTCCTCAGTGCTACAGTACATCATGGACTTAAACGTTTTATTTATATCTGATAAACTCAGCCTTACCTTGTGGAATCTGAAGATTGAAATATCCAAAGGTTTAAACAAGATCGAAATCAATGAAAAAGAGGCCTTGTTTATATATGGATAACTTCTACCTTTAATTTATAAAGTTAGCAATCTGGAACTGTGAGCACCTAGAACACTGTATTTTTTAGCAGTTGTCTTTCAGCTATGGTAAATTTTCCTTGTAAAATATTTAGGCAATGGCATTCAACATTCTTGCCATCATTTATTATGGATTTCATACATTTCTGAGATTCTTGTATTCAAAAACAAATGACAAGGTTGTTAAATATACTATATTAAACAACTTGGTCTGGCTTTATCCCTTTAAAAGTTGTTTTGGAAATGTAAAAGTCAAGTAAAGTTTCATTTTTGTGAATTGCATCCTTTCTAAAGGAAATATATTGAGTATTTTCATCTGCTTCTATTGTTTGAACTACAATATCGATCTCCAGTGTGTCCATTCCAGCAGTGGTTTTGAGTTACTCCGTAGAACTTAGATATACACTACCAGGTCCCTTACGTATTGTTTCCTGGGAGACCTTATTATATTTTTTAAACGCCAGGACTACTGCTTTACCTCGGTGGTATCAGCACATTGTAAATTACATTAAAACACAACTCACTGTGATTATGGGAGTGATATCAAACACAAGCAATGTTCTGTTAGTTCCCTCGAACAAAACAGCAAAGGAAATGCCAGCTGATTCCTTTGATTAGAAGGTAATGTCAGTGGAATAGAATGCTGTCACTAGAAAATGCTCTCCCACTGCTACATAAATGCAAAGGCAAAGAGTAGACATCTGTAGGAACTAAACATGAAGGAAGCCAAGGCATTTATTTTCAAAGCCAGAATTCTATCTGTATTTTATTCTGGGAATGCTATTTCTGCTGTATGCCTGCATTTTAAAACATGGACTGATAGATAGATAATGTATTTAAAGAGCAGCTAACTGGTCAGCTACCATTGTGGAGAAATTGTGTTTTGATTGGTTTGTGAAGGAATCTGAGAATTAGCTGATTAGGGGCTAATGTATTTATTTTTAGAGGCACAAGTTTTAAGTATGTGTATTTAAAACAAATTTTCATGATCTGAATTTTATATACGTCTATGCATATATATGTGAGTATATGCAACAATGTATATTCTTCTACTAATGTAGTCAGAAATGAAAATCCATATGATTTACCTAGTAGACTGAATATCTGACAGGATTTCTATATGTTATAGCACAGGTTAACCAAAAATGTATTTATATTCACCCGAGTTTTAATGTTTTTAAACAAACTTTTCTCCTACAATGCTTTTCTATATAAAATACTAAAGTCATACTCGGGCTTTTTTCCTTTGTTGTTCCCAAGTTACGTAATATATAGTGAATTTATCCAAAATGCCATTTTAGTGTTTCTTTCCTAGAGTGTTTTTGTGTGTTTGGGTGCTAAAGATTAAAACACCTGACTGCCACAATAACTGTAGAAAGATGAAAATTCGTTAAGGTTCCATAGTGTCTTGTACAAAATAGATCTAAAAAAAAAAAAAACCTATGCAACTCCACATAGTCTAATGTCTACTTCACCAGGATTAGTGACTCCTCACATGGTGTGTTGCTTTCTTCCAAGCACCTGTAAGTGTGGGACCCTTTTGCGGATATAAGAGCAAGCTTTCGCCAGTGATCTTTAATGGAGTTAAAATGTTTATGGTAATTGTAACCTTTTAAATGAGTTATATGAAAAGAGCATCTCATTTTTAATACACCCAGATATTTTCTCCTTGCCTTTGTGCGTTTTCCAGCAGTTAATTTTCTCATTTTTTCATTTCCTTTCAATTATAATGAAGTATAGTAGTTGGCCTTATAAGTAGACCCCAGTTAGCCCCTGGACACATTACCATCTACAATATCATAACAAGTCGTCTAGAAAGTCGGAGCGGGGAGTCTAGAGGCAGTTTTTGGAATATCAGGAAGGAAACACTTCCCCTCTCAGCCCATTTCACAATAACTGTTTTTTGACACTGAAGTTTTGTAGGCAAAAGTAAGAAAACTTTTCTGAGTTATCACATATAAAAGCTTTTGCATTGTGTGTGGAAAAGATGTGGATGACTCGACTGCCTGGATGGTTACATTTGCTTTCTGTGAAATGCTCAGAAAATGTCAGGACATTCCTTCTCTAAATGTATGTCAGTGTGTATTGTAATAAAACTACTGATTTAAAATAACAGAAAATGTATCTACTTTGTTTTACTTGTGATGATGCCTTCGTGTCCCTTTATTTAACTGATGCTTTTATGTCCCTTCTGTTGCTGGCATCAGAGCCTACTGCTGTCAGCCATACCAGCATAATCTTGGAAAATTGTAAAGACTTGGAAAATCCTCTATATTTCTTCCTGAGAAACCAAGAAATGTGATTGACGTGGAGGATATAGTTTGCACCTTTTGTTTTTGGAGTGTAGGGGATCGGGGGAAAGCATATCTTTACATGATATTTATAATACTTCATCCACCTCATCTTAGCATTCTATTATATGGGTAGATATTCTGTTACATTATTTTTTAATGCATTTAATTCTTTTAGAATACTGAGCAATAAATATTCTGAAATGATGAGGTAATGACCTACCACTATTTTGTTTACTATGCATTTTTATAGCATTGAATTTGCCATCTTTAAATGTTTCAGTGATGCCGCCAGTTTGAACTACATGTATAGCCCTTTCTGGTAAAAAAAAAACCTGGAAAGTCAAGAACCAGATACTTCCAGGTGGAGAAAACTAATGTGGATAAAACCCTGGGTTAGACCCAGAGACCAAGTCTAAATAGTCTCTGCCTCTCACTGGTTCTATGTTCTCTCTAGAACTCCTCTCTCCTCCCCGCCTACCATCTGTAAAATGCCAAGATTGGGCTAGATGATCCTTTTCTGACCTTACATGATTCTTGTATAAAAGGTAGTACTTTTTAAAATAACCTATATTCACAACTATAGCACTATTACCATTATTGATTTTTCACCAGACACCAAGACTGTCCTAGATGACAACTCTATGCAGGTAGGTACTATTATTAACCTCATTTTGTAGTTGAGGACCCTGAGACTCAGAAGATTATGTAACCCAAGGTAGCACAGGAAGTTGTGAGCTGAGACCCCAAACATAGGTCTTTCTGACTCCAGCGCCTAATTAATTATGCAGTATTCTCCTAAAGGCTTGATAAAGTCCCTGAGAGAAGGGCTGCTTCCATGCAGTCTCCCCAGCTATTTTAAGTTGTTTCTTTGTTGCTAACAGGTAACAGGCTTTAAATACCTCTCTCTAAAATAAGGAGGTGAAGTTGGAGTAGGGAAATAAATACATTTTTAGGACCTTATTTAAAATGTTTAAATGTGAGTGATGCAGAAGCCATGAAAGAAGTTTTAATACTTTCATTAACATACTAAATTCCAAAGATGTAATTCGTACAAAAGAAGTGATAAAATTACACACTGGGCCAACATTTTCCTGATTGTTGTGTGGTTAGCTATCTATGCCGACGCATTGGCAGGTTAGCGTCAGCTTTAGTTAACCCAGATGTGCCTTTCCCCTGAGTAGACTCTGGTATCAGGTGACCACTGTGCCTAACGAGCAAGGCGGTGGTGGAGGGCAGTCAAAGCAGGTGCCTCCTGGGCTTCTAAGAGGATTTCACATTTCAAAAAATCTGCATAGATCTGGGGTTGCCAACTGTTTTGCCATGGAAGGGTATTTACAAAAAATTTCATCACCATCCTTTAATAAAATAAAGTGACTCTTAATACCCAAAAAGCAAGTAGGACATAATTTAAGAGAAAGGCCTTTATGTAGAACAAATTTTGTTTTATGAAATACTTGCTACACCGTTCTTTACTTCTACATTTTACCCCAAACTGGTGAAAACTTCACAGACCAGTGTTGGTCATCATTGCAGAGGTGAATTTCAGGCAGGGAGCTTGTAAATGGGAAAAGGTGTGAGAGACCCTCAGAGAAGAAGCAGCCCCTGGGTCTGTAGCTACAGGTCATCATAGCTAGAATTGACCACAGTAAAATTACTTAACAATGCTCAACTATATTGTATTCTTGTGATAGAAGATGTAGAGGTGAAAAATGAAATGATCCGAATGTTTTAAAATACCCAAATAAAATGAAACCCTCAACCGTCTGAGGTACAAAAATAAGCATAGCCAAATACAACACAGAAAAACAGAATTTGGCTTTGATGACAGATCATACCAACAGCACCAGTTTTCACAACTTTGAAGTTGACCCACAGTCTTTCCTTCCTTTAGATCGCTGCCACCAGAATAGTCCTTCAAAACTGCAAACCTGCTCCTGTTCCTCCCCAGTAAGAGCTTCCTGGCCCATGACATCAAAGGCCCTCCATGGTCTGGCCAGTCTGTATGTCCAGGTGTGGACTTCATACCTGCCCCGTGGTATAGCAGTGTCACCTCTTGCTATTCCTAGAACTCCACACACTCTATACCCAAGAACCTTTGCTCATGGTGCTGCTACTGCTTCTGCCAGAAACCCCCAACCTCCCTTTATCTCAGGATCAAGGAGGCCTTCCTGCCACAGATAGCCTCCTAGATCGCCCACTGTGTTGTGACGGTCTCCCCTCCAGATAAGGGGCTCCATGAATGGAGGAACTATGTCATCTCTGTGACCCATGACACAGGGCTTGGCAGTAATGGGCACTTGGTGGTTCTTGGGGCCGGAGGTTCAAGTGCCCTTTTGCACACACTATCAAGACTCAGTCAAGATGTATTTGCTATTGTCTCCCTCAGTTCAGCCATATATGAACATGTTTTGATACTCTAGCCTTATCATAATAGAAGCACCGATAACATCTTGTAAGAGTTTCTTCAGAGGCCATCCCTGGTGCATCTTGTATTTAATCCTGATTAGAAGTGTCTTATCTGTTCTTGCCTCTTGCACTGAGAGTGAGTGCCTCTGAGGG